ATGGCCCCAAGGTTTTCCACAAGGCTCTCGAGGCGGCCCCCAGATGCGTTTAGAGACTCCCGGAAGGCTCCCAGGAGGCACCGATAGCCTTCCAAGAGGCCCCGAATGACCCCGCAGACGCCGCCAGCATGCATCCATGAGACTTCTCACACACAGCCCAGGCCTGACAATTTGATGAAAAAGGGATTCCCATAGTTCGTTTCCCCCGCCCACCTCATTCTACTCTCGCAGACCCCCGGAAGCCTTTCAGGGCTCCAAACCATCGAGAGCCTGAAGGAAATTCATGATTTCTCTGTTTCCTTATTTTCCCCTTCAATACACCTCCGAGGTTTGCGCAGGGCCTCCAAGAAAGCCCCTAGATGCAAGGAGCGTCAAACATGAGATACCATGCGTTAGCCGATCCAGCCTAGCTAGAACCTGAGCGCGCGTGAATCGAGCGCGATGGTTCTAGTTAAATGTGTATATATATATATATATATACAAAGACATATGCACATGAACATGTATATATATAGTTATATATATACACAATGTACACATATGTGTATACATATGTATATATACATATATATACACCCATTCATATTGTTTTATTCCCCGGACTGCCCCCCACCCCGAAGTCGGACCCCCCCGAAGCCGGGGCCCCCGGGACCCACCCCCCCTGATCCGTGGCCGGGGGCCCTTGGACGCCCCTGCAGGGGACCCCCCAGGCGTTTCAGAGCTCCTGGAAGGCCTTGCTGGGCCCAGGCAGTGGGCCCAAATCGTTCAAGAGGGCGGCCGAACGCCCCGCCGAGGGCCCCAAGAGGCCCCAGAAACCCACCAAACGCCCGAAGACGACCCAAAGAAGACCCCCAAGAGGCTTCCAAAATGCAGAATAGTACTAATTGTCGTAAGTTTTTGCATGATTCTGGTAATGCCCTGTTCTTCGGTCTTCTGGGCGTCCGAGACCGCCTGGGAGGTTCGAAAGTCGCCCCAAAACCATCCGAAGGGGCTTCCAGGCAGTCCAAGTGAGCCCCAAGACGGCACAACGGGGTTCCAAGATGGCCTAAGAGGGCCCCATGACGGCCCAAGATGGCCCCAAGACACCACCGAAGCATGTGACCCGTCGTTCAGGGAGACCGCGGTTGGAGGCAGGGTGGCCCGAGGAAACCAACAGAGGCCCCAAGACGATGCCCAGGAGGCCTCCAGAAGGCCTTTAGAAAGCTTGAACAACTTCCGTGATCCCCCCAGAGGCTCTCCAAGTCGGAGCCTCCGCAAAAAGAGTTGAGCAGGATGGGGAAGAATTCGCAGGGTAGGGCGAGAATGAGGAAAAAGAAACATGGAGGAATAATAACGAAGAACATGTTTGTAACGGCGATGCCGGAAAAGACAACAAGGATTTATCGTTAAATAGTATGTTTCATGTTCCTGCCATTCCGCTTGAATGCCAATCTTCACGGACCAAGGTGCATGGCGCGAAGCGTTAATCCAACCTTGTGTAGACATGCATACATATACACATACGTGTAGTTATGTATAGACATACACAAACACATACCCGCACACACAAATATATATATATATATATATACATGCATACACACGCACCACCCGCCAAACGCAACGGACAGGAGAGGAGGGAGAGGGAAAAGAGGACGAGGGGAGAGAGAGAGGAGGATGGTGGAGGGAGAGGAGGAGGTTGATGATGATGATGATGAGGAGGAGGAGGAGGAGGAGAAGGATGAAGACGAGGAGGAGGAGGAGGAATATGATGATGATAAGGAGGAGGAGGAGGAGGAGGAGGACGACGACGATGTGTCGGGGCAGGTGCGATGGGCGGGGAACGGGGGGGGCGTCTGCTGCTGGTGGGCGACTCGAGCGTCAAAACCACATTTTGCCTTGACGTCGTCGGGTGTCGGGTGGCGGTGTCTGCGGGGGGGCGCCACGGGTCCGGGCGCCGAGCGCACCGTCGTGCCAGAGCGGCCAACGCCCAGCGGCGCGCCTGACCTGTTTCTTAGATGCCCACGAGTCGGGGGTGGGGATGGGGATGGGGGGGGGGGAAGCCCACGGGGCAAGGGGCCAGGGGGCGACGCGAATGATTTGGCGTCGTGCGTTGCGGTCAGCGCGGGGCCGTCGGCTACGCGGTGCTGTGCGTTATCTTCCGCGCGCGCGGGGTGTCGCACCGAGCTGATGGGCGCGCAGGCAAGTCTAGGACGGGCCTCGAGGGGCTTCTTGCTCGCTCGGCGAGGCCCTTCGTGGTTTTCAGTGAGGCGTGGTCGTCGCGGTAGTAACGCTGCTTCGCCATATTGCAGGAATGTTGTTTTCGAAGATGAAATTGTCTCTTGGCGAAATGGCGCTCAGTTGTGTTTACCCCGAGCGCCGAGTGTTCCTTTCAGGAGGGGGGTCTATTAATGTCTGGCTGCGGCACGACATACAATATAATCCCCGCTTTTGTGTCGGAGACGTGTCGTGCGTATTGTTTGCGACGCCCGCGTCCTCGCATTGGACGCCGCGAAGGCGGGTGCACAAACTCGCTGTAGGGCAACCTGCGCGTTTCGCTTTAATGTTGTGCCTTGAATGACAACTTGGCCCCGCGCGCATGCGATGGCGACCGTGACGAGTTTTTATTTTGGCAATAGGGATTCCGCTCGCCCCGACGAGGCTCGGAAGCAACCGCGCCCCCCCATGTCAGGAATCGACACAGAAAGACGAGGCCCCCCGCTGGAAACATCCTCCGGATTGCCCCTTAGAGTGCTCAAGTGCTATGCTTGGTAGATTATTCATTTTAATCGCTCGAACTGCCAACATGAGGTGCGGGCCGCGTAGAGAGGGGGCTCTCGCTTGAGACTTTCCCACAGTTCACTCACAGACGCGGCCCCCGCTCGAGACATTCTTACGATTTGCTCCCTCGGGGTGCTCAAGTGCGTTGCCTGGTAGAGTATCCCGATGACCCGCTGGGATTAGTAACGTGATCTGCGGGCCCCATAAGGGGGGGGCTCGAGCCCAAAACCTTTGCACAATTCACGCACAGCCGAGGCTCCCGCTTGAGACCTCCATATTCAGACCTGAGGGGCCCAAAAGTGACGACGGTTACAAGTTTGAAGATGCCCCGCTGCGATTGGAAACATGGGGGGCTCTCTCCTGAGACTTCCTCGCAAATCACTCGCTGACGAGGCTCCCGCCGGATACCTCTCCCATGCTCAAGCTTGAGAAGCCAAAACGTGACCAGAGTTAAAGATTCGAGCATGACCCGCTGGGATTCAGAACATGCAGCGCGGGCCCCACAGGGAGGGGGTGCCCGCCTGAGACCTCCTCGCAAGTCACTCACCGACGAGGCTCCCGCGCAAGACTTCCTCCATATGCAGGCCCAGGGAACCCAAAAGTAACGACAATTGCAGGCGTGAGGAACCCTTTCGGATTAGTAAGATGATGTGCGGGCCACATGGGAAGGGGCCCGCCTGAGATTTCCTCGCATTGCACTGACAGTCGAGTCTTCCGCTTGAAATTCTCCATATTCGGGCTTGATGAGCCCGAAAGTGACGACAGTTGCGCAAGGATGACCCGCTGGATTTAGTAGCAGGATGTGTTGGCCCGATAGGGAGGGGGGCTCCCGCCTGAGTCTTCCTCACAATTCCCCCACAGACGAGGCTCCCGCCTCAGACTTCCTCCACACTGAAGCTTGCAGAGGCCAAATGTGACGGCAGTGATGATGATGGGAATGGTGTTGTTGATGATGATGATGATGATGATGATGATGATGATGATGATGATGATGATGATGATGATGATGGTAATGGTAATGATGATGATGATGCTGATGATGATGTTGATGCTGATGATGATGATGATGCTAATGCTGATGCTGATGAGGAATAATATGATGCTGATATGATGATGATGATGATGATGATGATGATGATGATGATGATGCGGATGATGATGCTTATGATGATGATGATGATGATGATGATGATGATGATGACGATGACGATGACGATGACGATGACGATGACGATGGTGATGATGATGATGATGCTGATGATGATGGTGATGGCGATGACGTTGAGGATGCTGATGATACTGATGGTACTGATGACGACGCTGCTGTTGATGATCAGTATGCTTTATGATGGTGTTGGTGATGATGATGCTGAGTATGATGATAATGGTGATGTTGATGATGATGTTGATGATGATGAGTATGATGCTGATGCTGATGATACTGATGGTGATTATGTTGATGATGATTATTCTGCTGGTGATGATGATGCTGTTGCTGATGATGATGATGATGATGATCATGATGCTGATTATGATGATACTGATGATGCTGATGATGCTGATGCTGATGTTGGTGGTGATCGTGATGGTGCTGATGTTGGTGCTGATGATGATGGTGGTGATGATGATTGTGGTGATGATGATGGTGATGATGATGATGGTGATGCTGCTAATGATGATGGTCATGATGGTGATGATGAGGATGAGGATGAGGATGAGGATGGGTATTAGGATGAGGATGAGGATGAGGATGAGGATGAATATGATCATGACTATGATGATCATGATTATGATGATGATGATGATGATGATGATGATGATGATGATGGTGGTGGTGGTGGTGATGATGATGATGGTGATGGTGACGATGATGATGATGATGATGATGATGATGATGATGATGATGATGATGATGATGATGATGATGTGGACCACCCATCCGCAGGAGGACTGACACATGTAACGGTGATGACGATGACGATGGATGATCATGCTGATTGTTATCGTGTTTGCGATGGTGATAATGCTGGTGATGATGATCGGAGGAAGGGGTGCAGGGATCCTGCGTGGGGTGTCCAGAGAAAGCAATAATCCCACTGAGGACGTGGGGAGCAAATGTCGCTCCAATTGCTCCGGAGTCTCGGATCTATGGGTCTCCTCCTCCTCCTCTTCCTCCTCCCCTTCCCCCTCCTCCTCCCCCTCCTCCTCCCCCTCCTCCTCCTCCCCCTTCTCCCTTCGAGGGGCAGCCCTCGCCTCCCCTCGGCCCCGACCTTTCCCGCGGGGCCAGCCCGGCCGCCGGTAGCGGCCGACGCCGTCTTTGCGGCCCTTCGCACCCGCGGGCGTCTGCGCCGATCCCTGGCCAGAGGATGTCGGGGGCCCCCAAACGGGGTGGTGACCACACCGTGTGGTGAGTCGGTGGGGATTCGGAGTCACCGCACGGTTTTGAGGTTCGGGTCGTTCTCCGAGGGCGTCTTGGGCGACGGGGGCCTCCAGGGTCCCAAGGCCGTGCGGTGACGGACTGTGCGGTGAGGTCTCTTGGGGTTCCGAGGTCGCCGCACGGTCTGTCACCGCACCGTTTCGGCACTCCAGAGGATTGGGACGGTCGAAATTTCAAGCAGTGGCGAAGCGTCCTGGCGTGCCTATAGGCCCACCAAGGAATGTGCTGAGAACCCGTTGTGGTCTGCATGAAATTTTCGTAGGACATTTCTGGCTGGGACTATCTTGTTTTAACACATCGGGTTTATGCTCTAAGAACATCGTTGTCGTTCTTAGAACATTTTAGGGTTCCGAGAAAATTTGGTGTTAGGCCTACTGGAATGCCGGGATGGTTGGGCCTCCTGGGAGGCCCTCGTCGCCCCGGCCGGATTCGATTCGAGATTCTGGCGGGAGCGCACCTCAGGAGAGGTCCGGCGAGCATCGGCATCGGCCCCTTTTTTGCTTTTCCCAGTCGTTGTTCCTTTTGAACAGGACTCGCCGTCGGTGTCGCCGCGGGCGTTGTCCATCTGAGACAGAAGGTCAGAGCCCCGAATCATCAGGGGTAACTCGGGTCAGGGATAACTCGGGTTCGGTTTTCGGGAACCCAAACCCGAGTTACCCCGGACCCGAGTTACCCCGGATAACTCGGGCGTCCAGGAGCCCCGAATCATCAGGGGTAACTCGGGTCAGGGATAACTCGGGTTCCTTTTTCGGGAATCCAAACCCGAGTTACCCCGGACCCGAGTTACCCCGGATAACTCGGGCGACCAAGAAGGCCGCCTGCACAGCAGCGGCCGCTGTCGGTTGTGAACAACATTTGTTGTTGGGCATTGTGCCCATTTCTTCCGTGTCCATGTCGTGCCCTGAAAGCACAGGGAGGGAAGAGTATCCAAAGGTGGGGCTGGGGAACGAACCTGGCTGCATGACCGCACTTATATCCTCCTGGGTCCGTTTGGATACTTGTTCCTCTGACCCCGCCTCTGCCCCAACTCACCTTTACTCAGGAGGGGAAAACACACAGACACAATTAATCGTCGACTCCCAGGAAACTATGGGAAGTAGCGGAAATGTGGGGAAGACGAAAACCCAGACAATATTGAAGATATTGGGAATCCTGTTATTTGTGCCTATTTGTGTGTCCCAGGGCCCCTTCATAAAAGTTAAGGCAACTTGATGGGCGGAGAGGGTAGGGTTCGGAATTCGCAGAGCACGTGGCAAAATCCGACACCTATGCCCCGGACCGCCTCCCATCGATTCAGGAGGATCGATGGTTGGTGGAGGTAGGCTTCGGATGTCGCCACCTAGTGAGGCACCGATGCCGCCGCACCGTCGGGTCTCCAGAGGAGGAGACGGTACCCATACTGCTACCATTCCTCGGTTTCGCCTGTTGGAGCCTCCTGGGAAGCCCTCGTCGCCACCGCTGGATTCGCTTCGAACCATCTTGGTCAGGAAGCATCTCGGGAAGAGGTCCGTAGAGTAGCGGCATCAGTATCTTTCTGGTATCCCCAGGTGTGTTCGACTCATGTTTGCGGAGGGCCTTGGCCGTTTTCGGCCTTCGGGGGCCTTTACTAGGCCCTGGGACCGTCAAACAACGACTCATGATCCAAAGCTAGTCTCCGGGAAAGGGTCAGGGTTTCTAGGGAGTCCGTATTGACAAAAACCAAGACGTCGCGTTTTTGGGGTTAGCAAGTCAGTGCCTTCTCTCGTTCCGTCGGCGCATACTGCCTCACTGTTGCTCTCTTGGCGTGCTCGGCGAGCGCGCAGGAGGAAGCAGGAGGGGGAGGACGATAAGGAGGAGGAGGAGGCGACGCGGGCGGGTCTTGAAGCCTCTTCACACCCCAGACGTCCGCGGCCGCGGGGGGCTGCGTCGGCCGCCCCCCCCGCGGCCGTGGCGGCCCTGCGGAGCAGGTCGGGGCCGAGGAGGGCGCGAGAGGGAGCCCACGCGATCGAGCCGGCGGCGCAATGCGAACCCTACTCGGGAGCCTTGAGACGGGGGTCAATGCAAACGGGGGTCAGCCACGGCACCGGATCTTGCAGGATTCTGCGAAGATCCCCTCTGGCTGACCCGGGTTAGCGAGCCGTTCGTGGCCGCGAGGCGGCAGCACATATTGGCTGACCCGGGTTTGCGAAGACCTGCGTTGCAGTTTTTTTTTTCTTGCATTGCAGTTTTTGGTTTCCTGCTGACCCGGGTCTGGATTGACCCGGGTCAGAAGATCCCCGACCTACCTTCACCGACCAACCATTCAGGCAAATCGACGGGCGGTAGGGGTGGGGGGTTAGGGTTCGGAATTCGTCGAGGACGTGGCGAGATCCGAACCCTACCCCCGCCCCTCATCGACTCAGGAGAACCGATGGTTGGTGGGTGCAGGGTCTGGATACCGCCACCTATCGAGGCTCCGCGAACACATTTTGGCCGCCGGTTTTGGGCCGTTTTCGGCCTCCTGGGGCCTGGGACCATCAAAAGACGAGTCAGGATGAAAAGCCGGCCCTAGGGAAGTGGTCCAGGCATTTGGGGGTCTACGCATCAAAACCATTCGAGCGTCGGATTTGTAGTAATGCATCTTCGGGAGACCTTTCTTGTGCCGAAAAAGTGTGGTCTTTGCTTCTACTCCGACGTGGGCTCGATGCGGATTCGACGTGGATTCTGCACGGCTTCAACACGGATCCGACACGGTCTCGACGCGTTCGCTTGCAATCCGGTGCGGGTTCGACACGGACAGGTGGCGCGATTGGACAGACGAGGCATCCCTGAAGGTGCAACGTACTGCAATGCGACCAAGCGATTGAGACAGAAATCATAGGCGCCTTCGAGGGCGCGAAGTTATTCGCGCTTCGCGGCTCGGCTCCGACTCCTCCTTATCTTCCTCTTCTCCCCTGGGAGGCGGCGCGAGAGCGCGAAGTTGTTCGCACTCCGCGCTTCGCGCAACGCGAAGCGCGAAGTTTGGAGCCCTTGGAAATGCCAAGGGGCGTCGCCGCGCCCTGCTGGAAACCAAAGGACTCGAAGAAAAGTCTCGGTCCGTCGTCGTCGCGAGGCACCCCCGAAGGTGCAACGTAATGCAATGCGGCCAAGCGATTGGGACAGAAATGCCAAGGGGGGTCGGCGCGCCCTGCAGGAGACCAGACGATTCGAAGAACACTCGGTCCGCCGTCGTCGTCGTCCTCGCGGCCGCCAGGCCGCAAGTCCTGCCAGTGCTTTCCAGCGCTGGGTCGTATTAGGTTTTTGAGTCGGGCATGTCCCTCTACAGGGGAAATAGTCAAAGATAGTCAAGGAATAGCCTGGGGATGAATTGCTGCATATGTTTGTTTGTTGTTGAGTCTGTTTGCTGTTTTTTGTTGAACCAATGTTCGCCCAAGATCCGCCTGTAGGGGGACACGCCCCCTGATAATAGATATGTCGATCAGGCAAAACTAAGGGCCCCCCTGTGTCCTGTCTATCACGTCTCATGTTCTTTCTGTGACGGGTTGCCCTCAGAAGAGGGTTGTGTCCTCGACGGAGGCTTCTGCGATCAGCCCCGCCCGCCCCTTTCCCTCGCTTTCGCCCTACTTGGGCCACCCGGGGGCTGGACCTGCCTCGAAAGCCCGGTGAGAACGTACCCGGGGGAGCGTCTCGGAAGGGGCTCAGTGCATACCGTGTCGCCTGGTTGGCGGAGGAGCCGCTGCATTCGGCGCAGGAGTTCGGTGCATAGACATGCGCCAGCCTCCGACGGGTTGGGCAGGTGGGGCGTGCACACACCGAACTCCCTGGCCGACCGAACTGCGCGGGTGTACACATCGGGCCCCTCCCAGTGGCCCAGGGTCCTGGCATCGCTCGGGCGTGTGCATTTCTTCTCGGCGAGAACCATCGGCGGCCATCCTGGACCATCGAGCAAAAAAAAAGAACACGAAACCGCAACATGCACGGGAAATGGACGTCCGAGCGACGGCAAGGGGTGCGCGTGGCGGTCATCGGTACCTTCTCTCGTCTTCCCAGTCGGGGCCCTCGGCCGGGCGCGCTCCCCGCTCTGCCGCCCAGTCACGGCACTCGCGCGGCAAAAGACGCCGCCGCCACTTCCGCCGCCGCCGCCGCCGCCGCCACTGACGCCGCCGATGGTTTTTCTCTGTCTCTCTCTCTCTCTCGCTCCCTCTCTCTCTCTCTTTCTCCTCTCTCTCTCTCTCTCTCTCCCTTTCTCTCTCTCTCTCTCTCTCTCCCTTTCTCTCTCTCTCTCTCCCCTTCGCACCCTTCGCACGCTGCGGCTTCCTGGGGTGTCGAGGAGCCTCCTGGGGCCTCGCGGGGCCTCCCTGGGTGTCCCGTGCCTGCTCGGGGGCCTCCTGCGGGTCCCCCCTGGGCCGGCCCTCTGGGAGCCTCCTGGCGGCCTGGGGCCACTTGTGACTCCCTCGCCCTCGCGTCGTCGTCGTCGACGTCATTGTCGTCGTCGCTGGGCGGAGCAAGGCCGTTCACGCCATGCCATCACGGGAGCGCCAGGCAAGCGACGCGGGTCCTCCTGGGCTCGATCGTCTCGCCCGATGGTGTGGCAGGTTGTCGCTACAGGTGACGCATTCTGCGGGGTCTTGACCTGAAGCAGCTGCGCGGAAGGAACGCGGCAACACCGCGCTTGGGAGTGCGTTTTCTGGCCAACGAGCCGCCTTCAGTGCATGGTATCATGGCCAGTGGGACGCCGCGCCATCGCAGACGCCTACAGCCTAACAGACAACGACCCCGACATGAATTGCTCGAGCTCCGCGAGGATTTCCTGGATCTGTGCTTGGCCCTGTCCCTGCACCCCCCCCTCCCCCTCCTTTCCCGTCCCCTTTCCTCCCTTGCCTCACTCCCCCATTTCCCGAGGGCGCTCTCGAGAGCGCGAAGTCATTCGCGCCTCGCGGCTCGGCCCCGACTCCTCCTCCTCCCCTTCTCCCCTGGGGAGGCGGCGCGAGCGCGCGAAGCTGCTCGCGCCTCGAGCAGCGCGCAGCGCGAAGTTGGGAGCCCTTGCTTTCCCCAGCACCGCCCCCTCCTCAGGTCGACGGCGAGCCCCGGGGGGGAAGGGAGCGGGGCCCGACGCCGCTCCCAGAGCAGGGCACGCCGCCGCCCGAGCGGGCCGCTCCCCGGCGCACCGCTCCCGCCGCCCCGCCCCGGGCCCCCCGGGCGCGCCGCCGCCGGGCCGCGGCGCCGATGGCGGCCGCCACGAGGGAGCCGCTGGTGCGCGGGGGGGGGGGGGGCCGATAGGGGGCAACGATGGGCAGGAGAGGAGGGAAGGTCCGGGAAGGCCTCTCAGAAGCACCCCTGCTCCTCAGAATCAGGAGGCGCGAGCACCACGTGGTTGGAGGGCACAGCAGGTCAGCCTCGCTCAGGCCCGTTGTCCTGCTGTGAGGGCTGGGATGTGACACGGCGAGTACTCAAATCGCCGTGGTTTCGAACTATCTCTACTGCCGTGCACGGACTGCTGCAGGGAGGCACCTTCACCTCCTTGCAAGGCTCTCGGTCTGCCGATTCGAGCACTTTTTTACCAGCTTCGAACAGCTGATCGGGAAAGGCTAATCCCGCGGAAACCAAATTCAAAGCAATGCTTATGCAGCTTACCTGCAGTGATGCACCACACCATGTGCACCTGGACGAGGAGAGCGGGGCAGTCTAATCCGGAGGACCTCTCCGCTTTCCAGCAATTCGAGTGCCACCTTTCGGCGATTCCGAACACCTGAAAGCAGCAACACTGGGCAGTCACAAGGAGCGAGCCTCAATTGCAAAACAGCTGTGCTTGCCACTGTCAGCAAACGTGCTAAGGATCATCGCCCTCACAGCCGATTCCTCCTGTCCAGCTCCCAACGCAGGTGTGCGGCGTCACCTGGGACAGCGCAGCTCGCGCTATCCACCATGCCGTGCCTCCCTCAGCGCGAGGGCAGGCCGCCGAAGCGACCCCTTGGGAGCAGAGGTGTGCTGCGTCACACGTGGTAGCGCAGCTCGCGCTGTCATCCATGCCGTGCCTCCCGCCGTACGCGGGAACACCACCGTAGCCACTCCTTCACGGTGCTCTCCGTGCAGCTCCATGGGGATGCCACGGTTTTGGATTATTTCTCTACCAGTTTCTTCAAGCTGCGATCTTCTGCGAACTCAGACTGGTCATCCCTCTGGGAGTAGCTGATGTTGGCGCCGCACTCGAGTACCCCGTGCATACCCTCTGGGTCCTTCTGCAATGTGAGGGGGCCGACGGCGACACACGCACGTATGTACTGCTCGTCGTGCTTGTTGCTCATGTGCACCGTGTCGATGATGGGAGACGCGTAATTGAACCCAACTCCAAGCTGCCCTGTCGCGATGGTGCCGAGGATGTTGAATCACAAGTTCATGTCGGTACCTGCGCCCTCGATTGTGGGAAGGGAGTTGGTCGTAATTCGGCTGCGTCCCGAGGTCGTCTGGGCACATGATGGTCTCAACCCAGATCTTGTCCAGGGTATCAGGCTTCTTTCTGTTGAGCCCGCGCTTGGCGATCCTTGCTGGAGTAGGAGGCGATGATAGCCGTCATGTTCTGGCCGGCTTCTCTTTGGTCCCTTTTTTCGGATGTGGTGGCGCGGGAAATGTGTTGCCAGGGGGCCAGCACATTCTGGTGCCGATGGGCCCTTGGGTGCCGACGTGTTCCCCTTCTTCCTCTTATCCTTTGCTCATCCTCGCTCAATCCTGGAGCGAGGAGGAGAAGCAGGCGGAGAAGGAGGGCCGTGTTGGCCCTTGCGGGGGGGGTCCCTCCCACCACCCGCGGGAGGGGGGCCGGCCCGAGCGCGCTGTCCGCCACGCGGCGGACGGCGCGTTGTGCGATACCTTCGCCATCAGTTGAAAAAAGGGGGCGTGGTGTGTCAAAACGACGCGAAGATCGGGACAAAATCGGATCGGGATAACTCGAAATCTTGGGCGCCGCGGCCGCCCCAGAGCGTTCCGGAACGCTCTGAGAGCGCTCCGGAACGCTCTAGAGCGATTTATCCCGATCCTCGCCCCGTTTTATGCTTGAGGTTACAGCAGCATGCCTCTTCAGAGCGGCCGAGTGCTGCTGCGAGCCATTCGGGTTTGGATTCCGTGATCTCCTGCGGGAGCAGTCTACGGGCCTTCATGGGGCACTCCTCACGTCCAATGTCGGCGTCGTTGGGGTCTTACCTGGACCACGGATGCCGACGTGGGCTTGCGTATGTGGCAGAAATGCGAACTGAACATCACACCTCGTTTGCGAAGTTGTAAAGGCAGCCCCCAAAAAGTACGCCGCGCAGCCGAGCAGAATTCGATGGGTCACCAACAGCGCCAGCCTCGTGGGCCTTGTGGTGGCGGCACTCGTCTTGACGATACGCTGGCACAGCGTCTTCATGAGGTGCAGCGTAAGTATGACAAGTTGGTTGCGGGTGGTTCTCCTGGTCCGAGCTCTCCTGGTGGCAGTACCAAGGGAATGGCCAAGGACCCAAAGGACCAGAAGGAGGGTGAAGTACGTGACAACAGCGAGCAGCTGGAGGTGGCCATCGCCCGCTGCAGCAAGCGGGGTGATACTAGCAAGAGAGCTAAGGCGGAGCTTTTTGCAAGACTTACGGCGGCCCGCCGAGGGCTAGTGCCCCTCAAGCCTCAGCTCGCCCAGCACGCGAACGTTGGTCACCAGCTGGCGCATGCTAGCGCCGAGAGCAAAAAGCTGGAGCAGCACATCCACGAACGGACCATGGGCATCGCCATGGCCCAGGGGAAGATCGATGGCATGCGGGCGGAGTTGGTTGTTACTGATCGCGAAATCGAGGCACCCAATCTGGAATCCTCTCGCACGCGCACTGTTGTTCCACCCGTTGACCCCGAGCTGGGCCCTCAGTTGATGGCCGAGGCAGATGACAAAGAGCAACGCAACGCGATGCTCAACTCCGACACTGTCAAGAAGTTTGCAGACTTGGTCGCGGCCGCGGCACCCAAGCCTACGCCCGCATCGCCCCCCCCGTTCGACGTTGGAAGTGTCGGAGCGCCCGCTAATGATGGGACTTCTGGCACTGATACTCCCACTGGTGGCGGTCAACCCGAGGAGCGACCCGCGTCGGGCTTCGATTGCGACGTGGACCTCGACGATGATCTGGTCGACGAGGTCGCGCAAGCAGCCCTCCGCGTCGACGAGCGGGCCTTTCTCGAGCAGTTCGGTGGTAAGCTTTGCAAGAAGCTGCGCGTGGGGTAGCGCCGGGCCCCCCCCGCTGCTGCGGTCTGCGCATGTCGAAATTCGGAGTTTCTGCTCCACCTCCGCCCCCCCCCCCCCCCCCCCCCCCCCCCCCCCGATTCCATCGCTCCCTCGCCCTCGCCTCTTGGCCTGGGCGAACGCGCCGAGACCTACAATGGCAACGGTTGGCCGACGCTGAGAGAGAGACTCTGCTTTGCGACGGCGCTTGTCGCGCTGGCGCAGGAGATCGGCCCAAGGGGGGGTCGCGCGGGGGAAAGGGCATCCTCGGCGGCGGGCTTCGGGTGGAACGCGTTGTGTTCCCATATCACTTCTGGCGCCTCTGGCAGGCCGAAAGCTGGGGTTGCCGCGTTTGCCCGCGTGCACGTGGGCCTACGATGGCCGTCGGATTTTCCTGATGTTGTCGCGCCTGGGAGCGCCATGCGCACGGTTGTTGATCTCGCAGGTTGACCACTGGTGAATGTGTTCTCCTGTTGCCTTAAGCCTGGCGCGGGCTTGCGCGCGCTCAACCTGGCTAAGGCATATTGGTGAGAGGCGCGTGGGGAAACGCGCGTTCGTTTCCAGGCGCGGCGGGGGAGGGGGCTGGAACCTGGGCCCTCACCTCGTTGACTCCGCGGGATTAGCTCGCTTGGTGGAGCGTGATCTTTGAAGTCCCGACCCAGAAAACCCGCTTGTCTCCGGAATGTCTACTGCAGTTGAATTTCTTCTGCCTGGCACGGCTTTGTTCTAGCTTGCGACGAGATCGAGGCGGGCACTTCGTGGACTCAGCCCGCGCCGCCCGGTGCAGATCGCTCCGCGGCCCGCCGCTGCAAGGTGCTATCAGCTGACGCATCGGCCACATCACGGCCCCCCACGGAGCCTCCTCTCGGCCCCGCTCCCAGGCTCTTGAACTCGTGTCGGACTATCGCGGGGGGCGCTGCTGCCGATGCTGTGGCGCGCCCTGTGGGCGAAGCCGGGGAGATGAGATGCCGGCGGTCGCCTCCAAGCATTGCGCCAATCGGCTCGAGCTCGAGCTCGAAGCTTCAACGGGGGTGGTGGTCTGGAGCAAGTGTTGCGCAGGGGGCGCGCAGAAATGGATTGTATTTCTGCCGCGCCCAAGGCCTTTTTACATTCATGTCCAGAACTGCGGATGGATCTGGTTGGCCCAACACCTGACCGATGCGGTTAGGGACTCCGCGGGGTTCCAGCGATTGCCCTAGGGCCCCGAGTTGCGGGCCCCAGTGAGGTCCGACAGCTTTCTGATAATGTCAACCAGCAGATCTAGCAGCTGCTCGCGGTGTCTTGCCCCGGTTAAGGGCTGAGTGTTCGTCTCGACGCTGCCCTGGATCAAACTCGTCGGCCCGCGTGTCGTCGCTGGGACCTATGGCGGGAGGAGGCGCCCCCCGGGGATGCTGGAGCCATGCGTCGGCTTATGTTGAAGCAAAAGTGGACCCCCGCCGTCGTTCAGAATCATCATGGATCATGGCGGTTTTTCCAACTCGCCTCAGGAGTTCTAAACAGCTGAAGGCGAATGCCTGGCTAAGTTCTGGCAGTCGCCCCATGTGCCGCCCGAGGCTCGCGCCCCTGACAGATGTCACTCGCCGCGGCCGACGGCCGCCGAGAGCAGGGGCGCCCTTCGCAACGCTTCGCCGCGCAACTCGCAGTCTCTCGACGGGCTGCGCCCGAGGCAGCTTGCCTTTGTTTCTGGCGAGGCCGTGGACACGTTTGGTGCGATACTTCAAGCGGTCGGGCCCTTCGGGTTGTTTCCCGAGCAATTGTTTTGGATCCGGTTCCCGTTGCTTGAAACACTTTTAAGGGGGGCCCCCGCCCTATCCTTCCGCGCGCCGGTCCCGCCCGAGCCCTGCAGTGGCCGAGGAGACGTGCAAACGTGGAATTCGATGCGAATTCCTCCGTAAGTACTGGAATGCTGAAGACACCGCGCGGCACCAGGCGGCGCAGGCTGAAGTTGCGCAAAGCACGACAAAGACGCGGGGGGAGTGATTTGTGGCGGGGCTAGGTATTGTGAGTATTTCGACCTCTGCTT